CCCCACACTTGGGAGCCGGTGCACTCTACTTTTCTCTCCTCCTTTGCTGACAGATCCTGCTGAGGCTGAGGACAAAGCCCTACCCCTACACGGACAAGGCAGCAGACCTGGTTCGGGAAGCCAGCGTGCTCCAGGCTGCTCCAGGACTCTGATCAAACATCAGCATCCCCGTCTCTCACGTTGATGGTATGTGGTAACCCCTTAAGAACAGAATTCCACCTTTTCTAACTCTAAGCAGCAAACTGGGGATGGGTAACTCTAGAAATCTAGAAATCCTGTCATGTAAGGACCTCCAGGTTTCAGCCCTCCGTGTGTCCTTGGTATCAGAAGCTGGAATTGCAGAGTTGCCACTTTACCTCCAAACGTAATTTTTGATGTGGTTGTGCCACTTTAACAGTATATGAAATCTCTCTTCGTGTTCTTGCAGCAGCATTTTTGAACTACAAAGGAAATCTAGCCCTTCTGCCCAGAGCTGTTCACAGAATTGTGGAATCCCAGAAGGGTTTGGATGGGAAGGCACCTTTTTTTAAAGCTCGTCCTGTTCCACCACCTGCCATGGGCAGGGACACCTTCCACCATGCCAGAGTGCTCTAAGCCCTGTCCAGCCTGGCCTTGGACACTTCCAGGGATCCGGGGGTAGCCACAGCTTCTCTGGGCAACCTGTGCTGGACAGCAGCTTTGAAAGGCAGAGTGAAGTACAGCTGTGATTTTTGTGCTGCCCTTAACATTGTATTGCCTGGCAAATGTGCCTTTGGGGGTTTTTCTGGGGTTGTTTTTTTTTGGGGTACTTTCCAAAAAAGGATCCCTTGTGTTCCTGGAATGTTGCATTCTACCTCTGTTGTTTTTCCAGTCAGTCTGGATCCTCTGCTTACATTTTTTCCTTCACTTATTAGATGTCGTGGATATGCTGGCTGTTCTGATGGAGGGCAGTGATGGCTTAGATGAAGAAATTGGGTTCTCTTTGAATGAAGATGTGATTATCCAAACATTTCCCTTCAGTGCTGTTGTCCCTGCTGCTTTAGCAGCCAGGAATATGCTGTTGCTTCAGTCTGAAAACAGAACAGGTACAGGGGTTTTTTTTTATGTTTTTTGTGTCATTTCCAGCAGTGTGAAAGTAGCATAATTTCTGCCCTCTTGTAATAATTTTTTATCATTTATAATTTTTTACCTTGAGGCATTTTATTATCTTCCCTGCAAGCAGAAGGAGGTGCAGATTCACGGTGCTTTGTGCTCAAGAGGGGCAGTGAATCTCTGTGGGTGCTTCTGCCCTTTTTCCCTGACCCTAAAGAGAAGGGACACTGTCCCTGCATGGACAGTCTTGGCCTGGAAGTAGTTGGCCTCAGTAACACAGCGTTTTAAGGGCAGAGGAGAGGAGAGGTGGTTCCCATGCCTGTGGGCAGCTCTTCCCGAGAGCAGGAGAGGGGACTGCATTGGTAAGTAGGAAGTGGGTGCGTTTCCCAAGGAAAACTTCAGAAATTAAGCTCCAGGGGCAAATACGGCGAGGTTCTACCACCTCCTTGAGGACAGTGTTAAAACCACAGGGGCATCAGCAGAGCTTGGAGCAGGACTGGCCAACCCCAGAGCACCTCACGAAGCCCTCTGTGTGTCTGTGGCAGTCGAGTAGCACCTGGGGGGTGCTGAAAGTCCCAGTTCTGACAGAAAATTCTGTTTAACTTGTACACGTTGGCTGGGTGTGTCCCCCCAGTACAGCTCGGTTCTTCTCTGAGGCGGTGCCTGGCAGGGTCTCTCCCTGTTAAGGACCGGGCGTGTTTTTGGCACAACACAGCAAAGTGGATTATTTGCTTCAGCAAGAGCTGATGATGTCTGGAGGGTTTTTCAGGTACCTTGGCGGCCAGGAGCACGTGTCTAGGTCACTAGGAACACTTTTTGATCTCGTTCAGTTCTTTCCTGTGTGAGGCTCTGTGGGCTGCTGGCAAGGCCCAAAGTAAGGAAGGTTGCCCCAGTGTCTGTGCTCATGTCAATAGTTTAATTTATTTGGCTTTTCTAGGAGCAGACGTCGTGGAGGACCTTGGTGCTGTTTTCACTGGCCTCCTGCACTCTCCGAGAGAACCCCTTGCTCCCTGCGTGACGTTCCAGCTCTGTGACAAAGATCCCGAGTCCCTGAAAGCTGCTAAGTATCCTCAGCTCTACCAGTTTAACCGATACTATAGGCTCTGGATGCCCAAGCAGTCCCAGGAACCTGTGGTATGGAATCCCTGAAGTCACTGAATTCTTGAGCCAGTATTCCTATAAAATCCTCGCTGTCGACAGAGGTTACATTTCCATCAGTAACAGCGTTTTTATTGAGGAGGTAATTCTGCATCTCTTGTTGATCACGCTGGGGACACACGTTTGCTCCAGGGCTTTTCTCTGATGGCACAAGAGGTCTCTGTGGTGTTTGGGAGGCAATGCCAGGGCTCAGGGCTCATACAGAGACTCCTCACCAGGCACAGCAGAGCCTGGTGTGCGCTGTGGCCTCTGTTTACAGCGCCCGGAGTTCCCCCGGGTGGGTGGAGGATCACAGGCCCCTGGGCTGGGTTTGGTGAGTTTTTCTCAGCTCAGCAGTGTGAACACTCCAGATGCCCCTGGGGACACTGCTGGGCAGCTCTGTTCTAGCAGGACTGCACGCCTGTGCTCCCAGAGCTTCAGTTCAGAGCTCATCTCAAAACAAAGGTGGCTGAAGAGATTTTTGTTTCATACTCATCACTGTTTTTCTCTTATGCTTTTTGTTTCGCTTTAAACAGTTTGAAAACCGCAAGGAGGTAAGCCAAGAGCCTCCTGTGGCACCGGATTCAGCCACTTTGCTGAAGGGAGCCTGGGAGAGAGGAAGCAGTACCTTCCTGGAAGATGGTGTTCAGACAAAGTGGAGAGACTTGGCTTCCTTGCTCCCACCTGAGCAGCTTTTGTTGGGAGTAAAGCACGTCCTGCTGTACCCGAAATCCACAGTGGAGAACTTCAGCAGATAATATTGTAGTTATCCTTGGTTTACTTTGTGGCACAAGTTACAGATGACTTGGCTGCTAAAACTTAGGTTCCAGTGCTGTAGCTCTTTTTCCTCGACTCGGCTGCGAGGGTACGCAGCACCATACAAAACTGCACCTAATTTGTAAACAAATGTCAGTTCTGATTATTGAAGCCGGGCTTTATTCCGTGGAATCCCGGCTGTGTGCTGCCCCAGGTCCTTTGTACAAATAGCGTACGGGGGGGTAGGGGAACCAGAACTTCACATTCCTTGTGGTATGTATGGGATTTTGGGGGGGGTTAAATAAAAAGGAGATGCAAAATGAGGGAATTGCTTTTACGTGTAACTATTCTTGTCCTAGAGGAGCCATCAGCTCTGTCCCGAGAGCTGAGTTATGAGTGTGTGTGTTGAAAGAGCCGCAAGCCTTTAGGGGCTGCAGTTTGTGTGCCCTGTGCTGAGGTGCCCTGAGGAAATGTGTGAGCCGGAGGGAGCCGGGGCCGGGCGGAGGGAGCCGAGCTGTGGGAATGGGCGAATGGAGGCGGGTGCGGGCGGGACTAGGCGAGCGTGGGCGAAAGCGGCCGAAAGGGGCCGAGGAGGCGAGCGGAGCCGAGCTCTGCCGAGTTCAGCCGAGGCGAGCCGAGCTTTGCCGAAGAGGCGAATGGAGGCGAATGCGGCCGGAAATAGCCGAGCGTGGCCGACAGTAGCCGAAGCTGGCCGAGGAGCCGAGTGCAGCCGAACGGAGCCGAGCTCTGCCGAGCGCAGCAGCCCGGGCAGGGGGGGCGCCGGGGCGGAGCCGGGAGGATCCCCTCCTGTCCCTCTGTCTCCCGCTCCATCCTCCTGCCCGTATTCCCCTGAGTGTACCCTCTCTTTCCCCCGTTTCCGTGTCCCCCCCAAACCCGGCTCCTTCCTGTCCTGTCCTGTCCCTGCCCCGCTGCTCCGTTCCATTCCCCCTCTCTCCCTCCTCTGTGCCCCGTCCCTCTTGCTGCCCTGCCG